CACCCAGAGCATCCGGAGCTCTGATTCCGTGGAGCCTAGCAAACTCCACGTGACTGTTCGTGTTGTCTTTGTCTGTAACCGCAACTCAAGCAAGTTTTCCAGCCTACACCACGACCATCTCTGGTGTAAGTAAACAATCTTTAAAACTACCGCTATGAGTCTGTGCCTAATTCTAGCTTGTCGTGCCCCTCTCTCCAACCCCACGTGCCCGGGATGCTGGCCACAGCCCGCGTGCAGCACGAAAAAGGGCCCGGCTCGCGCCCGGCCCGCACAGTGTGTAAGCGTTTGCTAGGTGGACCTCAGCTGGTTAATCTTAGCAAGACAAATGCACTACACATTTGTACTGTTTTCTCAGTGTTTGCCACCAAAATTACATGTGCATGCATCTGTACGTGTGCTGTTTGTCTGAGAAAATATCAGTGTAGATTAAAAAAAAGATATTATGCAACTCAAAAGTAAATAATGAAAAATTACAATCTAACTTGTGACAGTATCTGCAGCATCACTTACCTCAAATCATGAGAGTGTTTCAAGACGTAATCATAAGTCTCCTTTCTTCTCCTCACATGAGATGTTACAGAGTTTTTTTTCTGATGTCTTGCATTAAAACTCTTGCACTGTTCTCCAGGATCTTAAATAAAAACAAAACAAGAAGAATTCAGAATGAAAACGTCATTTCCAGTGGTTGGTGTGTGGCCCAGGGCGAATCCTTGACCTCTCTCCAATGTATATTTATTATCTTAAACAAGTATATTAAGTACAGAGAGCAAAAGGAGCCTGAAGATGGCTCTACAGACGACACTTTTCAATGTTTTAGACCACTTTAAAACATTTTTTACCACATATCTGCTATACTACATTGTAATGTAGTACAAGTATGATCACTTCTTTAAGAATGACCCAAGAAGTATCTGATTCAAGAGAGCACAGAGAAAGGGAGCAATCACCTTAGATGAAAATCAAAAACGTTAATTATGTTAAGTAACGACTGTTACATTAGGTATTGATAATGTACTATTATTATTATTGTGCAACTAACACAGTCCAGACTTTCCGTATTAATCTTTTTCTAATACTGATATAAGGAAAATATCAGCTTAGTTAACAAACACAAACAACAATAGTGTTGCATTTATATATGCAGAATGGCCAAGGAAGGAAAGAGGGAGAAAGAGTAAAATGAGAAATGGCCAAGGAAGGAAAGAGGGAGAAAGAGCAAAATAAAAGTAAGGGAAACTGATGAGTCTCTGATACAACCAATTCTGGTATCTTCCACTGTCATTAGAAAGGTATAAATGTTTCTGAATTTAAAACAAATTTTTAAGTGTTACATCAGCATGCTAGTTCCCCATGCAGCTTGTAGTAAAACAACAGGTTTCATTTACCACAGAGATGAATGTCACCCAGTATGTAAGGCCTACATGCTAAGCCGTGTCAATAGGAAAACCATCCTCGCTACATTAAATGTGTGCTCTCAGCCAGCAAGTTCACTTTCCTTTTGAGAACATCCTATCACATTTGCTTCTGGACTCCAGACATGTTAGTTACAGTTTTATAAAGAAGTTTAGGGCACATAATTATCAAACCTGGGAGCCAAATTCATGCCTCACTTACACCTGTGCAACCTCCACTGAAATCAATGAGGTTTTACAATGTGACCAAGGCTAAAAGTTAACTTTATGTGCATTTAAGCCAAATTGTTTGTTTGCTTTTCTCTCAGTTATGTCAGACAGGCACATCTGAATAATTTTTTCCATTGCCTTTTTAATTAAGAAGAGGAATCATTATCCACGGCTCTCTGTGGCTGTACATACTTCAGAAAATATTTAAAAAGCAGCTTTTCCAAAAGTGGTCACAGATTCGAAAACAGTTTGCATATCCAATTGCACTAAGAAACTGAGAAGACTGACATGCCTAAGAGGGAAAATGTCCTAGAACCCCTTACCCTGGTTCTCTTAATACCTGCTGAGATATTCCATATGGCTTTACTGCTCCTCACAGCTATTTGCATTATTTACCAAAAACCCGCATCTTGGTGTTTAAATGTAACCTGTTCCTGCTGCCATTGGTTTTGTTTGCACATTTCTTACTCATGTTGGTAAGCACTTACATGACTGATTCCACAGATTTCAATGGGACTATTCACACTTAATATGAGCAAGGCCATAGCCAAGCCCACCCACTTCCACTGACTTGTGGGAGCAGGAGATCCTTGAAAGCAGTGAAAAATCCAGACAAGGTTTGAAGTTCAAAGCTAAGGAGGACTAGCTGCCTATGACTCACCCACCTCAAAGAAATACAATGGGTATAAGTTACTGAGTGCCAGCCTTTACTTTGAACTCCCTGGTTTCTCTGTTTTTTTCAAATTCTTCATGTTGTGAGGGGTGGAGGGTTGAATGTAAAGATCAGAAGCAAAACATGACCCTTTTATTCTTGCTTTTACTTTTGTCGTTTTTAATTTTATTTTTAAAAAAGGAATAGTGTTAAGCTTAGGGCCAGACTCCCTGCTCTGCTACAGATCAATTTTCAGAAATTCCTAAGTGGCTTTAGATCAGAGGTTCCCAACCACAGGGCCACAGCCCAGTACCAGGCCACAAAGGGTTGGCTGCCGGGCCGTGGCAATTTTTTAATATTAACTTTAATCACTCTGTGCTACAGATCATCATCAGATAACAGTACTTTCTTACTTCGCAGATATTATGATAAAATAGGCTAGGTAAGTAAACTGGTAAGTGATGCACATCCTTGTCAAATTAATACTCTACTCCACAGAGCAGCTCGCTGAAATCAAAATGTGTAGGGTACTACACAAAAAAGCTATCGGAGAATCTGTCTCCTAGAAAATAAAAGCAGCAATACTGTTCGCTGGGCTAAACTTTTATAGCCCTGCTGCCTTACTTTGAGCTTTTAGCAACTGTGGGAGGCTGAATAATTTCACTGTGGTCACGGAACGGCTTTACAGCTGCTGAAACAAGGCCCTTTGTAATATGTATTTTACTATCTAAAGTAGCATATATTAAATTGCTGTACACTTCACATTATCTGTTTAACTTACTGAAAAGGGAGTGACAAATCTGAGTCTGCCAATTGCAACCCCCCAAAAAAAACAACCCCCCCCATAATTGCGATGGAAAAAATTATTTCAGATTTCTAAGGGGAATCACAATCGATTTATGCAATCTCACATTTCAAAGTGTAAAGCAAAATAGTCTAAACTGGTCCTCTCGTTTTTGCCATATCATAATCTTGTGAGCCAAGTATCAAAATCAGAAAGGAGTGGCATGCCTGTAAACATTCGTGTGCTCTCACCGCAGCCACCACCTGCTCTCGGACTACACTTCTATGTGTAAATGAAATCTGTTTATGCAAACTGGGCAACCTAAGTCACGGTTAATCTCCCAGTGTGAACATGCAATCATGTGAGTTGCATGCACTGATAGTCACCTGTGGGCACATCTGCTGGATTCTGCAAATATGTATTTTAGCAGATTTAAAAATACGGTTCTAAATTATTTGATTTGTCTATAAAATTTATGAGCTTGACTCTGCTACTAAGGCAAAGCCCTTCGTTTATGAGCACTTTTCTCCCAGGATTTCCTAATGAATAGGGAGCTATTCAGGCTGTATTATCCTTTAGGCTGGTTCAAGCCTGCTCCATCCAGGACTTCAGCTCCTCTACATTCCCCCTGTTGGAGCAATAGGTGCATCTGAAAACAAAGGGAAGGAGCAATTTGTGTTGTCTGCCTCTCCCTGTTCCAATGAGTTGGACGCACCCTGTTTGCCCAGCTCCCCAGCAGAGCCAAACAAAGAAGCAAATTTATCAAAAAGTACCTTTTTCGGTGATTTGTCTAAAACAAAGCTAGAGAATTTGGGTCTGTTTTCACACATACTGCAGTAACTCCCTGAGCTTCAACCCAGCCAGGATACTTTGATATCACAAACACATCAGGCATATGGTATTGCCAACCCCAGAAACTCAAAAATGATCAGTAGCTCCCTCCCTCAAATTCATGAGATACGGCTTAAATGTCAAGAGACTTTTAAGAAAAGGGGTGGGGAAGAAGCTTCATTTTTTCTGTTCCCTCTAGTTTTTTAATCTTTTATGGTGCACTTGGGTCATGTTTTCAAATTTTTCTCCATTATCACAATTTAGGAACTAATTGTCCCAAACACATATTGTAAGTCTCATAATAAAACAACTTGAGCTGGCAACTCAGAGGATCTTTCCTTCTACCTCAGTTCAGACTTACGTCTCTTTCAGGATGCTGTCTGGGCTGAACTGACCAAGCTAGTTTTCCATCCCAGTCAATTTGTATTTAATTGCTTTAACATGTCTGACTGTGATCAAAACCAAAGAAAACCACAGCAATGGAAACAAAGAATCAAGAAAGAAAGAATTAAACCCCAAGACAAACTACACAGGAAGAGCTGGATTATGCCTCCCCCAGATGAATGCTGTGGAGGTGGGGGAGGAGAGGATATTGGGAGTCCTTCCCAGTGTTCTCATACTAGGTAGATAGCTATCCCCTTTCTCTGTACAGTGGGGGATAAGAAGAGGTGAGCACATCTGGAACTGCCAAATTCCTTACTAGCCCCACCACTGGGCAGGACAGAAACAGGCCATGCATGGTTCTATTTAGACATTCATCAAGATGGAGGCAGGGACAGTTTAGGGCAACAAGGACCCTTCAACATTCTCCCACATGGGAGCCACTTAAAGTAGCACCGATAACAATGGAGGATGAAGAACTGTTGACACCATGCTTCCTCCCCTGGCAATGGTGGGGCCCCTGTTCCCCTGCCCAAGCACTGTTATGGCCTCTGGCCTCCTCTGCTCTGGTGGTATACAGGGGCTTAACTGGCTTCTTCTCTGACTTCAGTGGTTTCTGTTGCCCTCCCTTGAGCCAAAGTTGATCTGCACACTTACCACATCTGCTGCACTCTGTTTTTATATTACTGCTTTGCAAACATAAGGACTAACACATCATGTTTTTTTATCACTAAAATTCTGACCTTAGTGCACGACTTCTGTAGCAGTGGCCCTAAGCTCAAGCATACTACAGTTGTGCCTTAATCCAGCAAGGGTAGCTCCTTGCTCATCATTTTAACAGGGCATAGCAAGCCAGTTCTGCACCATGTTCGTCTTTGTGCTGAGGAAGTGATTTTATTTTTCAAAGGCACTCCTCAGTTGGTGGCAGTGGACTCAAAGATGATGTGAACAAGCCTTTATTTTAGAATGCCTGCCTGTCTTCGGCAATTCCTCACAGTCAAAGATGATTGTCTTCCGCGATTGTCTTATCTGCTGTAGGTCTGAAGATGGATGAGGAGGCCGATGCGGGATCAACAGACTCTGCTACAATGCAGGCACATGCATCTGTGTGGGGTGGGTAGCTCCGAATTCTTGATTTGGTCCATGACACACTGTTTCTGCCACTCCTACTTTTCGGTCTCCTGTTGTCATCATAAGGTTTCAAAGTACTAAGAACCTTGCAGCGGACTATTCCTCCATTTGGAGTAGTCCTGGGCGATAATCTCCCACAAATTGATATCAATGTTGCATTTTTTCAAGTTGGCCTTGAGGATGTCCTTGAAACGCTTTCTCTGCTGTCCTCCTGAGTGTATGCCTTGACT